TGACAGAGAGAGAAACAGTGAGAGAGGGAACACAAGCAGGGGGAGTGGGAGAGGGAGAAGCAGGCTTCCCGCTGAGCAGGGAGCCTGATGTGGGGTTCGATCCCAGGACCCTGGGATCATGACCTGAGCCGAAGGCAGACGCTTAACGACTGAGCCACCCAGGTGCCCCTGGATAACTTTTTCTTTTTATTTCATGGGTTAGAAACTTCAGTACATTGTTGAAAAAATGGTGAGAGTGGGCATCCTTTCCTTGCTCCTGATCATAGGGGGACAACATTCAGCCTTTCTCTATTATGTATGATATTTGGCTGTAGATTTTTCTAGAAGTCCTCTGTCACATTGAGGAAGTTCTCTTCTCTTGCTGAGTTTTTATCACGAATGATGCTGGATTTTACCAATTGCTTTTCTGGTGATCTATTGAGGTGATTATATGTTTCTTCTCTGTTAGATTATTAATGTGGTAAATTACATTGATTTTCAAATGTTCAGCCAACCTTACATTCTTGGGATAAACCCTACTTATGATGTATTATCCTCTATAAAAATAGATTACAGTTTTTATAAAATTGTGGATATGTATATATATATATACACACACACAATTTGTCATTTTAATCATTTTTAAGTGTTACAATTCAGTGGCATTAAGTTACATTCTTTCACATTGTTGTGCACCCATCACCATCATCCACCAATAGAACATTTTTCATCTTACAGTACTGAAACTCCATAGCCATTAAACAATAACTCTCCATTCCCCTCTCCTCCCATCTCCCAGAAACCACTATTCTACTTACGGTCTCTATGAAATTGACTTTCTGTGTACCTCGTTTGAGTGGAATCATCCATTATTTGTCTTTTTGTGACTGGCTTATTTCACTTAGCATAATGTCTTTTCAGGGTTCATCCATGTTGTGGCATATGTCAGAATGTCCTTGCTTTTTAAGGCTGAATAACATTGCATTGTATGTATATACCATCTGTTGTTTATCCATTTATCCATTGATGGAAACTTAGATTGCTTCACCTTTTGACTATTGTGAGTAATGCTGCTATGTGTATTGTCCTTTCTGTATATTGGATTTGATTTCCTAAAATAAGGGGTATTTATATATTTTTTGCTTATAATGCCTTTATCTGGTTTTTTTTTTTTTTTTGCTGTTAGAATAATGCTGGCCTCATAGAATGAGTTAGAAAACATTCTCTCCTCTTTAATTTTCTGAAAGTGTTGAATTGTGTGGAATTGGTATTACTTCTTCCTTTACTGTTTGGTGGAATTCACCAGTAAAGCCATCTGGGCCTGCAGTTTTCTTCATGGGAGAAATTTAAGCTATAATCAATCTTTTTGATAGATACAGGGCTATTCAGTTTATCTTTTTTTTTTTTTTTGAGTTTGTGTCTTTCAAGAAATTTGTCTGTTTCGTCTGTTGAGAACATCAAACTGCTGCCCATGAGCTAAATCCTGTTTGCTGCCTGTTTTTGATAAATAAAGTTTATGGGGATACAGCTATACCCATTCATTTATGTATTGCCTGTGGCTCTTTTTGTGCTACAATGGCAGAGTTGAGTAGTTACAAAGGAGATGGTATGGCCCACAGAGCCTAAAATATTTAAATCTGGTCTTGCGCAGAAAGTTTGCTAATCCCTGATCTAAGTTTTCAAATTTATTAGCATAAAGTTGTTCATAATATTCCCTTACTATTATACTTTTTTTTTTTTAAAGATTTTATTTATTTAGAGAGAGAGCACATGAGAGGGGGGAGGGTCAGAGGGAGAAGCAGACTCCCTGCTGAGCAGGGAGACCGATGGGGGACTCGATCCTGGGACTCCAGGATCATGACCTGAGCCGAAGGCAGTTGCTTAACCAACTGAGCCACCCAGGCACCCTTTACTATTATACTTTTAATGTCTGCAGAATCTATAGTGATAATTACCTTTTTCATTTCTGACTTTCGTTCTATTTTTTAACATTGTTCATGTTTATTTCATTGATTACTGATCCAATTTTTATTATTTTCTTTCTTCTGTTTACATTAGGTATCACTTGCTCTTTTCTAGTTCATAAGGTGGCAGTTGAGGTCATTAGTTTGAGACCTTTTTTCTTTTCTAGTGTAGGTGTTTAGTGATACAAGTTTCTTTTTAGGTATTGCTTTAGTAACGTCCCACAAATTTGGATGTGTTTTCACAGAATGGGATCAGGGAAGTTTTTACACTACTGGTAATGTTCTGTTTCTTAAGGTGGGTGGGAGGTACATGAGTACATTTATTTGTGCATTTATTGTTTATACCTTGTACATGTAAATATTCTTCTGTGTATATTTAGTATTTCACAAAGAACTTAAAAAAGTTATTTATTTATTTGTTTATTTTTAAAGATTTTATTTATTTATTTGAGAGAGTGAGAATGAGAGAGAGAGAGCGCACATGAGAGGGGGAAGGGTCAGAGGGAGAAGCAGACTCCCTGCTGAGCAGGGAGCCCGATGTGGGACTTGATCCCGGGACTCCAGGATCATGACCCGAGCCGAAGGCAGTCGCTTAACCAACTGAGCCACCCAGGCGCCCTTAAAAAAGTTTTTTAAAATTACTTTTTAATTCTGGTATAATTAACATACAGTGTTATATCACAAGAAACTTTTTAAAAATCTGAATGGGAGGCAAGGATGCAATCACCTTGTGGGTAGACAACTCTTTTGAGCAGTTATGTTGTATAGGGAAGCAGAGGAAAAGGCAAGTAATTAAAAAATGATGTGGGATAAAAGAGAGATTCTTTTTGTGTTGTTTTGTTTTAAAGATGGGTGATTCCAAAGCAAATTTGTTGATTCAAGGAGAGTCATAAACTTCATAAAAACCGTATCAGCAGGTATAAAAGTCATATCCTATTGTGAAAATTGATGGTTTTTTTAAATTTTATTTTTTTTTATTTATTTGACAGAGAAACAGCGAGAGAGGGAACACAGCCAGGGGGAGAGGGAGTGGGAGAAGCAGGCTCCCTGCTGAGCGGGGTGCCTGATGAGGGGCTCGATCCCACGACACTGAGATCATGACCTGAGCCGAAGGCAGACACTTAACGACTGAGCCACCCAGGCACCCCGAAAATTGATGTTTTTAACCAGAGCTTTTGCCTTAGAATAATAAGAACACCTATATTTTTTCCTCAGGTAACAGTTTGGGTTTTACTTCAGTACAGAAAACAGATACTATAATAAGTCACAAGAATTCTATGCCAAAACAATGGCCACATTATCTTGGCCTAAAGTTTTTTTCAAATCAGATACTACAATTAGTTTCCTGTCCCCAAAATTATAAATAACTACCTTTTAATTGTAGTCATAAAGGAATAAGATGAAGGTGGAAGAAATGTCTACTCTTCAATGAGATAAGCTGCTTATAGCCAGTTGTCTGTACCATGCCTAATTATTTAATGGTGTGTAACTTCAGGATGCTTCATAAGGCATCTGAGTAACCACTGAACTATGCAACCTACTTTATTTCTGTATATATTTAGATATATTTTAGGTGTTGGTGGTATAATTGAACACACTTGAATAGCTAAGTACTTTTTTCTCTGGTGTTTCTATCTGGCATGCCTTGCCAATCTTTTCCCTCCAATAGGCTGTGTGGTTCCGGGAGCAGGTGCAGTTGAAGTGGCAATAGCGGAGGCTCTTGTTAATTACAAGCACAGTATAAAAGGAAGAGCTCGTCTTGGAGTCCAAGCTTTTGCTGATGCCCTGCTCATTATTCCTAAGGTGCAACTATACTAATGGCCAAAGAACAACTGGTTGGACATAAGGGTGTTGGATTATAAATTACCCACATTATCTAACTTCAGAGTAGAAAGACAGTTTTTATTTGCATTTCCCCATGCAGTTTTGTTTAAGATAGGTTACAGCTAAAGCAGGGAAACTTTTGGATAATAGCTCAGAATCCTTGTCAGAGTTTCATGAAATAACTAAATTACCCCTTTGCTTATCTCTGAGCACCAAAAGTTGAAGTAAGTCTGGAAATTTCCTTCAAAAATGGTTCATGATTAATCATAATGAAAAAGTTTAGAACTTAAAATTTAACTAGACTTTGGGGTAGATTTTTATCTTGGTGGTGGTATCCAAAGTATTATCATCACCTTAAATTGTGGTTAGTGAGAACTTCAGGCTGTTTGGCACTGCCAAATATGAGCATGCTTTTGTCATATTCATCTTAATACCTACAAAAGGAAAGAAACCAGACGTTCCCTGTATCGACAGCAGGACAGAGAACTACCATTAAAGGGAATGGTAGTCGTTTGCCTTAATCTGGTTGTGAACCACTTAGAAACACAGAAGACCATGTCAAAGACGTTATTACCATGAATTAAAATATTAAGAACAGTGTTAGCAAAGTCTCTTTGTTAATTGCTTTAAAATTATTCATAATTTGTGGAATCTTTGAGAATTGGAGATCTATTTTTCTCTTTGCCTGAAACAGGAAAGTCAGTAAGTGATGATCCAGTAGTTGACACAAACTGGTAAGCCTGGTATACAGTGGTGGTTCCTTTTTACTTATCAGCTGTTGGTTTGGTACTACTTGGAAATAAACCTGGTTTAGAGTGCTGTTATCTCCATTCCTGTTGCCACAGGTCAGGACTCTCCTCATGTTGATGAGGGACACAAAGATCCTGAAAATATGTAGGGTTCCTTTAACAGGTGCCTAGGAAAAGCTAGAAAATGTGTGGCTGAAGGGACGAGAAGAAATAATACCATTCTACTGATTTTCCATTTTTTAAAGTTATTTTTTAAAGATTTTGCTTAGAGCACGAGAGAGAGAGAGCGAGTCAGCACAGGCGAGAGCCCAAGTGTGAGCGCACAAGCAGGGGAGAGGGGCAGAGGGAGGAGAAGCAGGCTCCCTGCTGAGCAAGGAGCCTGATGTAGGACTCGATCCCAGGACCCTGGGATCATGACCTGAGCTGAAGGCAGATGCTTAACTGACTCAGACACCCAGGTGCTCCTAATTTTCCATTTTTTAAAAAAGTTTTTATTTATTTATTTATGTAATCGCTACACCCAGAATGGGGCTTGAACTCATGACCCTTGATCAAGTCACATGCTCTTCCAACCGAGCCAGTCAGGCGCCCACCCCTCTTTCCATTTTTTAAGAAATCATTTGCAAGGAGGGAAATTAATATAGTGGGGTGGGGATGGGGGACTGTAATGTCCTCAGAATTTAGTGTAATATACATAGGGAAAATGTTTAAGTAAATATAAAAACTGCTAGATACATGAAATAATAATTTGATTTAGATTAAGAATGGAATTCTTCAAAAGGAGATGATTACTGTATTATGAATATGTTTTCACAAGACTAGAGAGAAGAGCCTCATTTTTTATATTTGATATTCAAATATGCATGTGAAGATATTTCACCCGTATATTTATTATTATTTTTATTCTTAAAGGTTCTTGCTCAGAATTCTGGTTTTGACCTGCAGGAAATGCTAGTAAAAGTTCAGGCTGAACATTCAGAATCAAAACAACCTGTTGGCATAGATTTGGATACAGGTAAGAAAGTGAAGAAAAATTAGCTGCTCAGTAAAGAAAGAGGTTTACTACAGTGACCTAGAACTTATAGTAAGGGAGTGGAGATTTGGGTGACTTTAATATTTAAATTTTGGGTGCCATTAATTTACTTTTGAACTTTTTTTTTTTTCTTTACTGAAGTTCTTTTTTAAAAAAAATTTTGTTGTTATATTAATCACCATACATTACATCATTAGTTTTTGATGTAGTGTTCCATGATTCATTGTTTGTGCATAACACCCAGTGCTCCA